CGTACTACGAGTCTAGGATAAGGTGAAAGGGTGGAAGGAGTGGGTGGTTGAAATGGAGAGGAGAGGTAGCGGGACGAAATGGAAAGGCGAAGATCGGGAGTTGCGGATCTCGAAGTGTACCAGGCGACAATGGGGTCCGAGGTGAAAACTGGCAATTCCTCAGCTCGACGAGAGGCCGAAGAAAATGGAGAAACTATTTTCAGCGCTGGAACTTCCGCTATTGTTGCACGCTCGGTGCACAATGCAACCCCCTTGGTCGCTTCATCGGCGAACGCCGCGGCGTGTTCGTTGCGGCGAAATCGGTAAAATAATTCTATACGTTAACAGGGGTGGGATTTTTCTTTTATTCTCTTCCTCTTTTCCACGCGTTCGCGCCATTGTCGGTGATGATATACGGCGGTGTCTTGAAAAATTTTGGAAAATTGTTTGCCATCGGACGATATATCTCGGCGGGTTTATCCCTCTCGTGGACAGTTGAATCGAGAGCGCGGAGTAATAAAATCATCGATACGTATTCGAGCCCGTGAAAGAACGTGTTTGCATATAAATAGTCTTCCTCGTTCGCTGTCTTCGTTGTTGGCGAGGCGGAGGGTAGGCTTTATAACTGTCCATTGTTCGGCTGTCGATAGTTGGTGGCACGAAACGCGGCTAAAAAATATAGAGTAATAGGAAGATTCGCCTTTCCGTTGTCGGACGATTTAGATTATCCGGCGGGGTGTTTCGTAATATCGCGATATCGCCGGACGAAAATCTACCGCGACGTAACTCCATCGATGAAAAATCCACCGGACAGCGTATCGTTGCGCGTAAATCTTCCGTGACAGTGCGACTTACGGTCCAACACACGGACAAATTGTCACGACTTAATTGCGGCATGCTCGTATATTGCGGCGGGACACGAAAAACGTACAGGCGTGTGTCTCTCGGCGGCGTAATGCTTCGTGCAAGAACGGTGATTTCGATCGACGTAACCCGACCGTGCTGTATCCGTGTATCTCGAACATCGTCTGATATATTTTCCGCGGTTACGAAACAATTAAGGCACTAGGTAGCCGCTTGGCCGTTAAAAAATTACCCCCGCAGGTATATTTATCAGTGTTTCGGGTAAGGGTGAAAAATATTTACCACGGGAAATAAAGAAAACGGAGAGAGGAGGAGAAAAATTGCGCGATTAAAGCCGAGTTTAGAGGAAAACAGACGACGACGGATTAGAGTTGGCTCGACGAGGTCTCCTTCTCGATTCGGCGTATTTCAGAATTTCCGTCAGCCCGCATTTACCTCGTCTTCGATCCCCGGCAATTCACTCGATCGTGTCAAAATCGCATAAGAGGCGTGCACACGCATAACGTGTAGGAGGTGACGCAGCGCGCCCCTCAGCAAGATAGATTCGTTTCAACGTGCACCGGTGTCAAACTATAGCGAGCGTGTACCCGTGTCACGGCATTTGGCAATTATCTTGCCTCGTACCGGTATACTGCGTACATACATTATGCCCCGGGGTTACTCGCGCGAAACTCTCGTGCGAGCGATAATCTAGGAGCGAGTATAAGCGACAAACAGGGACGCAGATGTACTTCCTCTGCACGACGATAGTAGCCACGCAATCGCGTAACCCCGTGTTCTTTTCCAGTTTTCTTGCGAAATTCCCGCGCTGATTGCACTTCACGCTCGATCGATCCTTCAAAATTACTCGAGTCGCGAGTTTTAAACCTTCCCGGCTGACATACCACCGACGATAAATCCCGCCGCGACTAATCCCGTATTATCCGTGGCAAGATTGATCCGTCAGGGGCGTGACAATGGTAACCGGAGCCGGGAAATTAATATTTATATCCGTTTGATGACTTTTTAATCGAGTCGCGCGAACGAATTTCCGCTAGACACGGGATCCGTTGAAAAGTTTCGCGCGTTAACCACGATTATCGGGTAGATTAAGCTCGCGAGAGGAGAGAAATCGAGGCTTTCCTACTTACCTCTTGACGCTTTCGTGGCAGAACTCGTTCGATGTCGTTAACAAGCCTGGCAAGAGGCGTTCTCTCTCGTCAAAGAAGTCGCGTAGTGCGCCGTCACGCTGCCGGTGGCCACTTAAACGCGTGGTTTCCACACAGGAATCCGAGAATCCCTTCTAATTAGCACCTTGGCCGGGTTTTACGGCCGCAGCAGTGGCAAAGAAAATATTTCTCGCGCGGAGGACGAGAAGAACGCTACTCGGAAAAGGGGACCAGCGCCGAGGAATATGTTAGTATCCGCCTCAGCACGCGCGGAAGCCGCAATCGTGGTTGTTTCGAAGGCTCGCTCGAACGCGTATACGGCCCTGAAGACGACCACGAATCCACGCATTCGAGCATATTTCGTGGAAATACCTTGCGTGGGATCACTGTGCATCGTGAGCCATTAACGAACGATAGTATCGGCCGATTATACTCGTTACGAGCTTTCTCGCTTCCTCATTATCGCGGTTTCATCTATGGCCTGACCGGCATCGGTCGAGACCGAACTCGATGCATTAATTATCGTTCTTTCGCATAATTTAAAGGACGAATCGTTGGACCGGTGGCGGGTGTGCGTTCGGTGTTTACCGCTGCCCGGGGGTTGAAATCGAATTCGCGCGGAGAAGGGACAGGGCGAAAGTTGATTGGAAAGTTGTTCCGAGAGAAATTCCAGCGCGGAAAAATAGTCGGTGGGAATTGTAAACGTTGGAAACGAGCCGGGACGGCCACCGGGTTGGTGGATATTCCTTTAAGCTTCGCTCGGCCAGTGGCGGATGATTCGAAAGATCAAGTGGTTCTGCGTTTAAAAAGCTGGCAGCGATAGGCCGAGGAGGATCAACGCGGAAAAGGAGGAGCCCGTATGGTCTCGATTGAAATTACGACCCACCCTTAAAGTCTTCTCTCTCGCTTATTATCGTTCTTGAATTTGGGAGCCGCGAGTTTCATTAACGCGCAACGACGCGATTGGGAAAAGAATAGACGGATGACCGTGTGATTCTGTCCGAAAGGGGGCACGTTTCGCGCTTGCTTTGTTTCAGCCACTTAGTTTCCATCTGCGACGCAAGAACTCGACGCCGCATTCAACGAATCGCTCGTTTAATTCGTCGAGTAATTGAGATAGCTGTAAGGACGATGTTGATCCCATTGTTCGCGCGGAATTGTTTATCGAACGGAATAACGTTCGTCGCGACGTGTTCCGGAAGAATTAAAGAAAGAAGCGACCGTCTCGCTGGCGGCAAGAGTTATGAATCCAGCAATTAAACGTTCATTCGAGACCGACGTTTTGCTGCGGGTCTTATTTCGTCCGCCCGAATGCAGTTTCCCCGGCGTTATTTACATGCAAATAAAACCTTAATTCGGATAAATATTTATCAAAACAGTTGCCCTTGGTGATGGACGCTGTCCATCCTTGTCCGTGGAAAAGGTTTGACTATCGGCATAGGAACTATATATATATATATATATATCGTCCAACAACGAATTAATTAGGAAAGAAATATACACGCGTATGTGGGAAAAAAATACAGAAACTCTGAAATATATTCAAAAATAAAAAGACAGGAACATTTTACCCTTTGTCCGTGGATGAGTATGTCTCATTAATGTACGGAATCTCGGCACGCCTGGATAGCCAGGCAGCAAACGCGATTTAATTAAGATACGAACAATCTGGGTCGAAGGAGGCGGCCCAGGATCGATGGAAATATCGGAAAATATGAGGATTATGCCGGGACCTGGCTCCGTCATCGTCTATAATTCCGTGCCATTAGCTGTAGCAGCCGTTACTGGCACCGCATAATAATAACTGACATTCTTAAGATCGCGATGCAAATACCGTTGGCCATAATTAAACGCGGCCACGTCGGGCGTAGCCATGGCCGAGGAGCCGGCAAAGAAAACGTGTTCGCGTCTCCGATGTTCCGGTCAACCGGATGGAAATTGCGAGGAGCCCTTCTCGAACCTTTAATCATGGCGAACGCGTTCGCCGACGGCAACCGTGGAATGCTCGCGGTGTAAAAGAGCTGAATATCGTAATAAAGGCTGCAGAGGGAGGGGCAGAGATAGGGAAATAAAGAGAGAGAGAGAAAGAGCGAGAGAATGACAGAGCTAAAGAAAGCTAAAGGAAGAACAGGATGAACAAGAGGAGGAGAAGGATGATACGAAGAGGAAAAAGGAGGGAAAAAGAAAGGCTAGAGGAAAAACGAAACAAGGATAAATTCATCGCGGATGAAACTGCCCGCAGTGAATGCGTAATGCCGTGTTTTATAAACCCTTTAATTGCCACATTCGGACACGTACATCCGGTGTAACAGCGTATGCTTTATTCACGCAGACGTATCCGCTGTCACGTTCCCGGAGGCGTGTAAAATTGCGATGATTAAAATGTACTTGCGCGTCGTGCACCAGCCTGCACACACGCCCCGCGCTACCGTTTTTCTTTCTCCGGCCATCTTTTTCCGTTCCTCTGGCCCCCTTTGTCCTTCTATCTTGTTCTTTTTCATTAATCTGGAAAGAACGTTGTACGCGCCGGAGATAACGAACGCCGCGGATTTTTCAGAATTTGTTTAATGAAATTCCCGGAAAGTAAATTTCGCTTCGTGCCCCGTTATTCCCTCTTCTTGATTAAAAATCGCTATGCTCGCGGGGCTATTGTCTCGCACGGTGTGCTTAAGAATCGAATACAGATATCAGCGTGCCATGAGCGAAAAAACGAACACGAACGGTCGTTACGGATGGAACGGGGTTGAATTAATTAACCCACGTTAGACGCGTAAAACTGTCAAAAGGATGTCCGAAAATTTGATCAGCGTGACGGCTCGCGCTCGATTTGAGGGCGACGAAAGGGACCGAGTCGGGAGGACTGTTCGAAATGAATCTGTTAATTAGCGCGAATCGACGTTCGGGCCAGGGTAAATGAACCAGCGAGAGACAGAGAAGATAGCAGCGAAGACAAGTTACCGCGATAATTTGCCACGTTATACGTATATCTAATTCCGTTGGTTGTTGCAGTCGGTGCCATGTACGTGTGCATGCTGTACGCCATCCTGTTCCTGAAGCTATGGTCGTACGTGCAAGTGAACATGTGGTGTCGGCTAAGCAGTCGAAGAAAGGCAGCAAGCAAGGGCAGGATGCGACGGCAATCTCTGTCGTACAATAATCTGCAGTGTAAGTAGACGATGTTCCCGTAATTCCTGCGCCACTCCGTATTTTCCGGCGCAGTTTCCCGTTTTTCCCATCGTATTTCCGCGGCCAGTTTTATACCACCTTGCGGTACCGTAATAACGCCGCGTCATCCGTTTATTTCTATCGACCATGTCAATTTATCGCTGCGGACGAAACGGCAAACGTTATTCCGGAATGCGTGCTACACGCGTCCGGCATTTTCGATAACAACTATTACGCATTCCCTTTACATCGTTCCGTGCTTTCGCGCAACACCCTCTAATTTTACGCGAATACCAGCCGAAAAACGTCGGCCATCGGACGTGTACACGGTGTGCGCGTGGATTTTTGGTCGACCGCCTCTGTGACGCGGCTCGCAGGAAAATGCTTGTTACAAGTTTTTGGACGACTGGTTAAATCCCGTGTACAACGAGAATATACACGCTCCGCGACCAGAGGCGGGCTTCGCTTCCGTCGTAAGCGAAATTAATTAAAGGAACGCGTCGCGCGAGAGGGCGGAAGGGCGCGAAGAATTTTTGTTACCCCTGCTGCAATTTATTCGCCGATATCGAGTTCGTATTTCCCTCTAGATCGTTTCTTTCCCGTTTTTCCATATCCCCGATGCTTGCCGAGTTCAAAGTCCACGATTTACCCGGCTAGCCAGCGAGATGAACCGCAAATATTCTCCGCCGGCGATAGACTGCGACACGCATACGTTATCCGCCGCGTACGCGCGTCTTTTGAACCCGGTAATCCGGTCCTCTGTGTCGGAGAGGTATTTGTTCGCTTCTGAAGGCGCATACACGATGTCGCGGCTGGCCACGACGCGTGTGCACATACCTGGCACGCACACAGCGGCTCCGGTGGAAGAGGCGAATAATTTCCACCCAATTTAAACTCTCGATCAGACTCGCCTCTGTTTCCGGCTATCGGTCGGTTAGGTGGTGGTATATCGATTATTCAGGTCCGACAAAGTCAAATTATACGAGCGACCTTTCCCCAATAAACTCACCGCATGGAATATTAACCCACCCCCGTCAGCCTCGTACGTCGCGTTCTCCTTTCGTTTCGCCTTCCCTTCTGTCTCTCTATCTCGCCGTCTGAGGGGAGAAATGTAGCGCCACGAGGACCTCGTGTATCATTCTGACACGTTATGGCCCTCTTTCGTGCAGTGGAAATCTGTTGTACGACACTTCCGGTTCCTCGGAGTCGCTGTAAAGAGGCCTCGAGGGTCGCAGAAGCCACTTGGAAAAAATCAATCCGTGAAAATCACTCGGTTTCCGTTCCACGAAGCCGCCTTCTTCCCATACGCCGGGACCGCGTTCGTTGCCGCTTTTCGTTATCGTCGCGGGATCTCGTTTCTTTCGTTCTCCATTCCGAGAATAACGTCCCTTGCTCGGTAAATACGCGATTACTCCAACTCTGCGAATTTTACCATCGTTCCACCATCGTACCACCATCGTACTTTTCGTCGTTCGCGTTCCCTCTTCGAGCCAGTTGGCTCCGCGAATATACCGTATTCGCGAGAACGCGATGGTCCGCTCCAAGCTCGATTAATCGAACGTTTCGACGGGCATCTGATATTCCCATTTGCAAATTCGATTCGAGTCCATTTCACGGCACACTCTCTGCCCATTTCCCGAGTTCTCGTTCACGGTCGAGCGTCGTTAATCAATGCCGAGATAATGCGAAAGACATAATGGTGGACTCATGCGAACGGTGCCTCGCGGAGGTGATACCTGTACCGGAAGTGCGCGGGGCAGATGTCGAGGAACCACACCGATTTCACACCTCGGGGCACGGTCGCTTTGCTTCCCTATTTATTCGTCGTCTAGTGGAGAACTAGAATTGCCCGAGAATAATCAGATGACTGTTAATTCCCCCCTCGAGCGGCGTCGCTCCTCGATCGCGCATATTAACAGCAGGCGAGATGTAAAAAGTGCCGCGGGCTAATATGATTATCGAAATTCGATGGGACGCCTCGGTTGCGGCTGGCAAAGTGCTCACGCGTGCTCCGGATCGATTCTCTTGATCGATTCGTACGGAGTCGCTCGATCGACGAATGCACCCTAGCCGCAGAGCTACGAACGCGTATATAATCCTCTCTCTGTACCTCGTGCCGTGTAATTTTCGTCCCCTGCTCTCCCCGCTCGTGCAGCGGGCCGAGGCGCGCCGTATTATTGCGTCGCATAATGACGACGTTGACTTTTGCCCGCTGCCGTAACGTGGCCGCGTCTACGCGATTTTCGCCGAGGCTTTTTCCGCTCTTCGCGTGCCGGATCGATCGGCGAAATCGAGTTGGTCGATCGCTAGTTCGCTTCGCTTTCGATAAGCAATCTCCTTTAACGTTTCTCTTATCCGGACTGCAGCGAGAAAGTCCTTTTCGCGGCGCAGACACGCGCAAACAGAGCGTGGCCGGTGGCGGAGTAAAAATAAGGCAGAAACGGTCCAGTCATGGGGGCCAGACCTGCTTCGTGGCCGTGCTTTCGCGTGCCACGCCGCCATTCCGGTCAATGGGTTCCCGGTGAACGTCCCGGAGTTTCCTAAGGAAGCGCCTTTTTTCCTCACATTGCCGGGACTATGTAGACGGCGGTGTCGCGTGGCTATTGTTTCGACAGAATTTTGGGAATTATTACGGGCGACGTGATTAATAATGTATGAATTCCGGGGAGATTTATGGCTAGTATTAATTTCCCAGGGATTTTGGCCTCGTAGCGTGACGCTTCTTACATTTCGGTGACAGTTTTTTGAATTAATATTCCGATCCTCCCGATCCTCCTCTTTTCGCCCAAATTACCCAAGTGTTCTCGCGATGGAATATTTCGAGCGTCGATTATTACTTAGGATTTTATGGGAACGTGGCTCGAACGAAGATTTCGGTTTAATCGAACGCGAGTATGCACATATCCGATGGGTGAACGATTTCGTTCAGTAGCACGAAGCTCGTTCGTAATAATCAGCGGAACGAAAGGTTGCGAAATTCTTTGGGAAATAAAAAGTCGACTGTTTAATGATGATCCTTTACTTTCGCCTAACGAGGAACACGAACATTCGGATTTAATTATTTCAGCATACACGACATTTTGTTCTTTTCTATCGGCGCTACGTTATTCTACGTTCCGATAACTCGTTTATTAAAATATGCTGCAATCTTGACCATTGGCATTAACGGTGGTAATACGAAATTCCAAATCCAACGCGATGGTACGCGTATCTTCTCGATATTCGTATATGAACGAATAATGAACAACTTATAGAATAGTAAACCTGTATTCCTTCCGCGGAGCGTCTTAACACCTGTCACGTTCCCCGTTTTGATTCCGTTTACAATCCGTCACGCGGCACTCGCGTTTCCCAGTTACTCAAGATCGTTTCCCAGTTTCTCAAAATCGCCATCACTTACGGTTTTAAATACTTACGCGACATTAAACGCGCTGTCGTATATCACGCGTCGAGAGGAGAGAGTCGTTTAATGCCACCGACGGACGAATTTCCTCTAATTTATTACTCCGTTGACGTCCAACCATTCATGCCGCGAGCTCGCGAAGCACCTACGCGTCTGAAATCTTCTTACGAGCCGGTATCACGAGCTTCGCAGCACTCGCAACAGCCACGAGCCCGACGAGTTCGCACCTCTCTGTCCCTACTATCTAGGGGTATCTTAGAGACTGCTGCTACGAAATCGAGCAGGCTTTCGCTCGTGACAGAAAGCGCTATTTTTTCCAATTTCCTTTAAAGGAGAAAGGGGAAGGAGTGGAGTTAATCGATTTGTTCCGTGAATGGCTCAAATAGTTTCGGTCCCCGACGCAATTTTCTCGTCCCGCTTTGTTCATCGATACGGCCGATCTATGGATTCCGCGAATATCGCGTCAAAACGATCCCCGTTAGGATAGACGATTGGCAGAAAACCGTCGAAGAACGAGGCAGCGCGTTGTCGAGGAGAACGGCAAAGGAAAAAGAAGGTGAACGATCGAACGGAAGGATGGCAAAGCGAACGAGAAATCTCACAAATTAAGCTTGAGCGGTACAAGAGACGAAGCTTTCCGACCGATAGGATTGGCTGCAATCTTCGACAAGGCAATCCGGCGGACTCGTAAATTTCCTGGAACAGTGCGAACCGAGCCTAACAGACCCCGACTGTCTCGATACCAGTTGGCCACAATTTCCCGACGACATGGAGATCTAATTCTAGAAATTTATTTGCCCGATAAACTGAAGGTGTTTTCAGGCGGATCCTCGAAACGCTAGTGATTCATTAGCCGATGGATGCTTTCCAATCCATGCACGTCGTTTGCAGAACATTTTCTTTCGAAAATTCCCGGCCGTGGTCGTCGTACTTTCCGACGAGTCGGCACTGCTTTCGCGAATTATTGCACCCCGAGTCGTATGGTAATTAGGGGACAAAGTGTCGCGTAGAAGACGATTATCGCTCGTGATAAATTCCAAAGTTGCCGAAAGTTCAATGGCAACTTTTGATTCCTCCCGGTTATTATTTTCGGATATCGGTCAGCAAAGCGATTTATCTATCCGTCGACGCTCGGCCAAAGTTACGAAAATGAACGAGAAAAGAATTTCGAAATTTAACGAGGATATCGGCTAGATATGCGTCTTTCCTCGACTATACACGGGACGATTCGAGATCAATCAGCGAAATTCGACGACCAAAGCAATCGAACCGGGTGCAAAATGGCGCGTATTAAAAATTCCAATCGCGTCTGTGCGGCGGCATTGCTCGCGTGGAATCCTCGCGATATCTCACGGATTATCGCGCGCTTCGGTTGATCATCGCGCGGCATCGTATTAACTCGAACAACGCCCCAGACGAAACAGGAAATTCCGTGCTCTGTACGGTATTGAGTACCAAGCAGGCCAGGCCCGGGGGAAAAACGGGGAAAAAAGGGGGAAAAAAAAACACGACGGAGAATAAATGAAGCAGCTATGAGACCCGTTGTTCGGAGAGATAGAGCGAGAGAGAGAGAGAGTGAGAGAGAGAGAGAGAAGGATGGTCGGATCGGGGAAACTCGTCGACGCGGCGTAGCGTGGCGAACGAAAAAGAGGCATGAATTTAATTTGGACGAATTCTTCGGCACTTATTACCAGAGGGCTCGCGGCCCATGAAACGTCGCTCGGCGTCGCTCGAACGTCCGTCGTCGAGACGCTGACGACAACGACGGTACTCGCGAGAGTCGCGTCGATTTCCACGCCGCTTGCAAACAGCAGCCTCGGACACGGAGCGCGTAGCGCCGATCCGAATCGGTCCGATCGGCCCGATCCAACGACGACCCTCGCGGTAACAGCCGGCGCGTAACTGAGCTTATTTGAATTCCAGATTGGATTATCCGTCGGATTTGGATAAATGAGGGGATTCTATCAGTTAGCTATTCGCGCTGGCAGGGGATTAGGCGCATAGACGAGAATCGGTCTCGTTTCGAGTCGACCTCCACCGAGGGAAACTTGCGCGTCCACCTACGCGAAATTTTCACCCCCTTCTCCAACCACGAGATCCCTCCGTCGTTGAAATCGCTTAATAACGATCGCTACGCGCCCGCTCGGCAATCCGAATTCGCGACGGGATCGAAGTTTAAATACTTGCCGGTTTTTCTTGCCAAGATTAAACTACACGGCCCATCCCGACTCTTCCCTTGGGGTAGCTCGCAATGATTCTCGAGCACGGCGAAGTAACTTCCCGGGTACCTTTTCATCAAACTCCCCGTCGAGCTTTCACTTTTCTTCTTTTTCCTTTTCTTCCCTCCACCCGTCCTTTTTCCCTCGATTTTTGTTTTTACCCCTTTTTTGGCCCGCTTGCAAGCACGAGCCCGGTCCAAGGGTTCGCGAAATTCCTGTTGCTCGCCAGCCGTGGCGTGTGATTCATCGCCGTAATCTGTTTTTTCTCCCTCTAGTCTAACGCGGATACGATTCGTTGTTGCAGCTTCCAGCATGAAGCAGAACGGCGAGGAGGTCGACGACTCGAAGCACGAAGTAGACGGGGCTGGCACGGCCTTGGTGCAATATCCGGACAACTTGAATCTCCGCGATCTTTACTACTACATCCTGGCGCCTACCCTCTGCTACGAGCTGAATTTCCCCAGAACACAAAGGATTCGGAAAAGGTAAATAGTCAGCCGGGGAATCCTCCTCTTCCCCCTTTTTTACCTCTATAAACGAAACCGTCGATCGATATTTTTTTTATCCGGTATTCGAGTACTTTACGGTCCCACGTTCGGTGAAATCGTCAAAGACATCCCGCAAATAACGCCGACGGGAAACCGAAACATGTTTCAGAGGCTTTAGCGTCATTGGATATTCCGCTTCGGACATGCGCCTTCTATGAAACGTCCACCGACGCTATGGTCCAATATCGTGACCTTCCTCCCGTCTCTCGAATCCGAATTAATTTGATCCTCGGTTTGCTAACAACGAAATTTCCCCTCTTCTCTCAACGCTACTCTTTGCTTCGCGATCCTTTCGCAGAGTCGATTTCGATCGTCGCGAGCAATCGAAAAAATGGACGTCGCGTGTAGTTATTCGAAACTTCGAATTTTTCACCGCGCTTTTGAAGGGACAGTCGAGGTATTCGAAGTTAACTCGGTGTTTAATCTATCCGACACGGTGTACGCATTTGTCCACGCGTGTATCCAGTGATCGTGGTTGGGTCTCCGTGACTGGCCGAAAAAGTTTCCCTTTTTCGTCGGTCTCGATGGCGCGTACTTCCTTTGCCGAGTAAAGGAACGAAAGGGAAGAAGGCAAAGTTGGCGAGCGGAAATGTTCGCGAAATTAGATTTAAGTGGGCTATTGTTGGGAAAATAGAGAGCGGGTACGTTTGGATGGACTCGCCGGGTGATGTATTCCTTTCCGTGCTTCCGGCCTCGTACTTCCGATTGTATCCGGAATCCCGGAGATTTTCGTGGAACACTTTCCTCCGTCTGTACGGACGTATTTCGACGATGCATACAGCCGGTTCGGTCGGGCGGAGTGCATCGGGAAAAGAGAAGTCTGGCTGGCCGACATTTCTTGCCACCGGCAGTTGTTGGCCCACGAAAATCCCCGGGACGAATTGCGATGGGGAAAGAAACGTCATATCGCGTGATTCCCTTCTCGAGTCATATTTTTGGATTTCCCGGCGAGCGTGGCGAATTTTTCGGTACGTGCGCGGAGTGTGCATGATAAGAGAAATGTAACCAACGTGGCTAATGTATTATTTGCAGAAAAGTCGCGACGTAGTCTAAAAAGACGTAGTTGACTCTGTTTGACTAACGTGCAGTGGAAATGGGTCATGCTTTCACGGAACTAGAATCTCGCTACATTTTGTGCCGGAACTAAAGCGATACATTTAAATGAGGAGTGGGGGGTTAGGGAGATTTTTGTTCCGCTCGCTCGCTTTCAACGTGTCCGTAATTACGTAACGCGGGGAACCGCTTCGTTTATCTGCGCAGATTTCTGATTAAACGAATCCTGGAGGTGGTGGTCGGCTGCCAAGTGGTCATGTCGCTGTTCCAGCAATGGATGATCCCGTGTGTGAAGAACTCGCTGGTACCGTTCAGCGTAAGTGTCTCATCTGGTCTTACATCGTTACCTCGTTACGAATCCCCCATGTGCAACACGCCGGATGAAAAATCTCGTTACGGGGTGTCGGACCTCGAACCCCCGTCTCGAGCCCCGTACATCGTGGAAAACAATTTTCCATTTTTCCCGTCCGTTCTCCTCCGTGAAGCATCGAGCGGTTGGTAGCACGGTGGTATCGCGACGCCGTGCATCACTCGTTTATCCCTTTTATTCTCGACCGATATAAATAATAATCTATCGCCCGATACATCGACGTGTATCGCGGACGTTATTAAAGGCGGCTAATTATTTATAGCAACGGTCGTAAATAAGTCTAGTAGGAAACTAGCCACCGGAAGCGAAATGGCTCCTAAGATAGAGAGAGCGGATGAACGGAAGTGTAATTTGGTTTCGGCAAATAGGTACGATCAATCTTTCTCGTAATTCCCAGACTGCTGGCTACGATACGCACAAATATATGGTCGGCCGACCCCAACCTGTTCCCGTCCAGCCTCTCGCGCCCCGTCACGTCCGGAAAATCCTCCTGCACCCCATGGTAATGATGCGTTTCTACGCACGCCGCACGATAATGGCCCCGACGACCCATCAGTTTTTATCTCGCCCCGCTAAGCGGTCCCCTCGTCCCCTTTCTTCTGGTTATATTTGACAGGCCGGATCATTTGTTAGGAAACATGGCAGCGGTGCCTCGAGTTACGCGAAAATCCCCGAAGAAATTGCGCGTGTTTCCGCTCCTGTACCGCGACACGACTCCAACGACGTAATCAAGCCGGAGCTGTATATATCGCGGATAAGCTTGCCGGACAATTTGGACGGAATGCAACTCGGAGAATACCGTGATTATATCTCTTATTATTCACCGGCACAATGCCGGGTGGAGGATAACGTCGGTGGTGGGTCGAGACGATAAAGTTGAACGTACAACGACATTGACGGACGACGCTGTTCGATAATTGAGCCAGTCTTTCATAATTCCGTGGTGTATTTTCGGTTTGGAATTCGTGGAGAGCGTAGGAACGGGGGACGGAACTTGAGATGGCGAGCTCGCAATTAAGCTCGTTCATTCCCGTCGATGGGTCGATTTACTTGTTGCCCGGTTATTCGTTATCGAATCGTGCCGTGTCTCGGCATTTTATTCGTTATTTACAGCCGTCGAATCGAATCGTTGCATTGTCAAAAAGAGTCGAAAGGGAAGAATTACGTCGCTCAGTGGGGAATTTCGTCGAAAGGCTGGCCAAAATACGAACGCGTCTTTCGATTTGTACAAAAATTCCTATCATTGGATCATGGATGGTCTGTACGTCGGTAATCGATTATTACATTTCGAAATTTCATGCGGCGTTTGATAGACGAAAACGTGGCAAAACGCAGTTTTACGCTTGAAAAATTGAATTTTGGCTAGAATTTCAGCGAAATTTCCCACCGTGCGTCGTGTTCATGCGTCACGGCGACACGCGCGCGCGATTTAGCGAAGAGGACGAGCGCGCGGTCGTAATGTCGCGGAATTATTTTTCATCTGGCATCGGGCCGACGCGAAACGGCCACCGCGATAAAGACAACGACGATCTCGTGCTTGTAACGAGTCCACGGCAATTTCGCGAGCACGTGGAATTAGCGTAGCACGAGAGGCAATTGCGCGGGGATACGACACGGGGCACCGGCGAATACCGTACCCGTGTTGCCGCCATTATTCCCTGATTTTCTCTTCTTCACCTTCCTTTTTTTTATACCTGATTCATTCGCATCGTTTTCCCCGTTTCTTTTTATTTCCATCCTCTTCTCCCTCGTTTCTTTCACTGCTCCTCTTGATCCTCCATGGCCGCGTAACTCTTTGCCTCTCTTGTTAGCGGTTGAATCACAGACTTTCCAGTTCATTTCACGGCCAGAGAAGTACCGAGGGTAATTAACAATCTGACGTTTATTCATTTAATCCCGTGACATTGATTGAAAAAATTCCACCACCCTGCGGTTTTGATTGTTCGTTAACGAGGGGATGAATAGTTTCGCTGTCAGTGTGCATCGGTGGCAGAAATTTCCCGCGCGTGTTCGCCAGCTTCGTGGATTTAAATGGATCCTTTTACGCGGACAGTTTTAACCACGGCTGATCCGCGCCGGACATCCGCGGTTTACCAGCTATATCCATAGATGGCCGTATAATGTAGTCGGCTGCAATCCGTGCACCGCCATTGTGAAACGTTGGGAATTTCGGCGAAACCTTTGTTTCGAATGGCTCGTCACAACGCGTGTGTCTTTCTTCTGCGTAAAGTTGGCCAAAGTCTGGAATTTCGGACGGGAGAAGTACGCGGTAACGGGAGCTAGTGGATCGAGCGACGCGTGGTCAGACGCGAAAGAATTTTATATTTCTAATATCTTTCCCGTTATCCTCTCGTTGGAAGGGGGTGCAAAATTCGAAACCGGTTAAAGCAGAAGTTTGTTCTATCGTCGTTCTTCCATAATTCACGTGGCTCGCCGAGAAAAATGTATTCTATATGCCGCGTCGTACATCTTTTACGAGTTCGAAAATTGAGATATTACCATGGAGAACTACCACTTGCGAGACACTTTGAGGCAAACCCGGTATCCTAGGCCATCGCGCTAAAGAACTGAAACTTCTCCTTAATGTACTCTTTTGGTCGCTTTATGCGCGTAACAAAAGACAATATCGAGATAACGAGTAACCGTTTGGCGATGGCGGAACCGCGAGGGGCGTGGCGTCGGTTGGCAAAAACGAAAGACGAAGAGGGACGGGCGAGCGTAATTACAATGCGACGAGCAGCGGGTGCAGTTATCAATTCTCGTGGATGCCCGCGATTCATTGGCGGCCGCGCGCGCGGTGAAAAGCAATATCCACGAAATCGATTTCTTCTCGTTGCCTCTCGGTGTCAAGCTTCTCGCGACAGTGATAGACCATCGCGAAGTAGATCGAAAGACGGAGACATTTTCCCCTGCCAGCTGGTCGGCCGATCAGCGACGTGACTGTCGTCTCTGCCATCGTGATTCGCAATTATCGAATCCAATTTGTCCGCCAGAAAGGCAGGCGAGATGGCCAGGGTGAAAGAAAGGGTGGGAAAAGGTTGGAAAAAGGGGTGGGTATGGGTAGCGATCGAAGATAGAGAAAATGACGAGGCGGACGACGTGGAAATGGATAGAGAAAGAGCTTGCCACCCCGGAATTAACTCTCGTGCACCCTGCACGGTAATTACTTGCAGTTGGATCGATATCGCCGGTTCGCGATTCCTTTACAGGCTGGAACAACGGGACTGAGAACAATATCTGCTTGGTCCGATCGTTGCACCAAGATTTAACTGTTTCCAATTCTGTTTCTCTTTCCATCCTCGATGTCGCGTTCTACACCGGGTTCCGGGATCTTACGGTTAGAGGGAATTTCCAACGATTTACCGACGGCAATTTGTCCGCGATTGAAAATCGTGTACCGATGGAGGACCGTCTGTTCGCGAACGACGCGAAATCTCTTCCAGCGAGGTGAACGCCACCGCCGCCGCCACTTAGCCTGATCTGCCCGATTCGTGGCGTTATGGAAACGCTTAATAATCCGTCCGGGAGCAGGTCGAGGAACAGGAAGGGGGCCGTTGGAAAAGCACCGAGGGGATGAGAAACTGGCGAGAACTATCTAATCGCGGGTGCACAAGTTTTGACTGGCTGTCTTGGCCCAGGGGCGACTCTTGTTGTTACCAAGTTCTACGACCAAGTGTCCGGCCATGGTTGTTCAAGGATGTGCTTCCCTTTAGGGTGTGTTTCGTATTTTTGCGCTGGCTACACATCGCGTTATTGCTACTTCTTGCGAGTATTGCATTTCGCGTTAATCTCGACGTTGATATCTTTTTTTATTTTCGCTTTGGATGTAATAGTTTAAATTTTCGTTAATTTCCTTAATCCCTCGAAGACCGTACTCGCGTTAACGCGGTCTCCATTTTACGCGAAATTTTCTTTGTCCCGTGTCAACGAGGTCTTGCTTTGTCCTCGGCGTTTATACAAAATCGCGTACACTCGTGTTTTCTAGAATACCAATTTGGGCATCGCGATTATTTACTAAGCGGACAGTAGGAAATGTTGGGAATTTTTTACCGATTTTCGTAGAGCCACTCGGTCCTCGAGGGGTTAATACCATATCCCGCGAGGTTTCCGTAATAACTCGAATTTCTCGAGAAGTTGCGTCGAGTCACCCTTTGTAACAAATAGTCCACGCGTCTTCTTCCCTTTCTTACATTAATCCCATCCGTCTTGGGATCTTTTTGCTCTCGTCCGCCGTCAAGATCTCGGCTATGGGTCACGATTAAAAACTCCCGGTTTCTTGTTTCGCCTCGAACACTGGAAGAATTGCCAACTGAATTTCATTTCCCAATTTACGTCTTTGCGCGAAATTTCGGCGTAATTAGACCAATCGCACTCGTTTTAATCACTTTTTAATTACGAGAAATTTCACCGAAGCCCCGCGTTCTTTTCAATTAACACTGTTAATTTATTTGCTCCTCCTTCATCGATTTCCACTGAGCGGAGATTGCAAAACAGAGTAGCCTGTATCGAGGCCGAAGTTACAGTTCTCGACAACATCAACGAACTTGCTACCTTACCTCTAATTAACATCGAGGCGGTTACCAAACGGACTTTTATTAATAAAGTTCTCGTTCGTCAGGCAGTTAACGCTTCCGTAGCGATTCGTTTCTTTCTAATGGCTGCCTACTCCCACCTGGCTGCAATATTATTTCAATTAATTACACCCGGGTGGCATCACGTGCCAGCTATCGACGCTGCATCGCACGTACACGCGTCCCGATGTATTCATCGTACGCGAAGGCCAACGTTTAATCGGACTTAACAACTGCTTCATTCGCTGTACGATTCGCGTACCTCGTCAACTAATTACCCCGACGTTTACGCGTTAACAAGGCTACCCATCTGGCGCGGATTTCATTCCGCGACTGCGGGTCGTGTAACCTTCGAATTGCCAATCTTCGTGTCGA